AGAAGTGACCTCTCTTTCCTCCTCCTCCTCCTCCCAATTTGATCGCCCCCCTCCCGCTGAGCGACGCTCAAACTTATCCTCATGGCGGCGTGCTACGGTAGGTTCGTGTCGTGTCGATTGATTGCGACCCCGCCAGCGGCGTTCGTCTTCGAACGCCGCGGGCGACCAAGAATCGTTCGATGTGGAATGATTTGGACGTTTCGGAAACGCCGATCGTTCAAGGTTGAACGATCCCCGCGGTGTCAGAAACCAACGGCGAAGTCGGCACGACACGAAGTTGACGCAATCCGATCCGCATCCAGGTCGTCTCGGGTGGGCCCTGAGGCGTGCGCGCGCCGAGGATCCCCGTAGCGCGGGTAGCCCCCCTCGAGCCTCTTCTGTCTGCGTGGGACGTGCAGCAACCGCTGGGGCCTGCCGTGCCGTCCCAGACCCCTGCCGCCTTCTCCCCTGCCTCCTCCTCCCTCCTCCTCCCTCTCCTCCTCCTCCTCCCTCTCCTCCTCCCCTCCTCCTCCCTCCTCCTCTCCTCCTCCTCCTCCTCCCCTCCTCCTCCTTCCTCCTCCTCCTCCTCCCTCCTCCTCCTCTCCTCCGCCTCCTCCTCCTCCTCCTCCTCCTCCTCCTCATCCTCCTCCTCCTCCTCCTCCTCCTCCTCCTCCTCCTCCCCCTCCCCCTCCTCCCCCTCCTCCTCCCATCTTTGGGATAGGGATAAGTCCCCCCGCCCCCGCAGACTTGGGGGCGGCGGGGAGGTTGGGGGGGCGGGACGAAGCGTTCAACGCTTTCGGGCCGACGGTCGAGGACCGCCCGCGAGTGCTCGCGACGGGTCGGCAAGCGATCCGGCGAGCATCGGCCACTTCTGATGACCCCGACTTTGAGGCGGGTTCGGACGAGCGTGGCTAGTTGTTCTCTGGACTGCCTTCAGGGCCAACCCGAGCCAAGCCGACCCCCCCGCCCCCGCCCACCTCCACGCCCCAGAGGTGCTTACCCGCGGTCCCCTGGCATCCACGAAACAGGCGGGACCAGCGCCCCTGAGTCAGGGATACAGTTCGTGGGGGGTGAGCTGCAGGATCGGCGAGTGGCCCTGGGCGAAAACTGGCTAGGTCTCAATCAAGCTCGCCTCATCCGCCCTGAACGCGCTGACTTGGTGTAGTGCCAGGTTCCCTCCGGCCTGATCTGGCTCAGTGGCCACTTAATCAGGCTTCATATCCTTTAATCGTTCTGGCGGAGCCTCCCATGAGTTGCTTTCTAACTGGAGGTGTAGAGAGGAGGGAGGCGAGGAGGAGGAGAAGGAGGAGAAGGAGGAGGAGGAGAAGAAGGAGGAGGAGGAGGAGGACGGAGGCGAAGGAGGGGGAGCGAAGAAGGGGCAAAGAGGGAGGGAGGAGTGGGAGGAGGCGCGGAGCGGATCCACTCGACATTGCGCTCGCACTTCGGACGCAGCCTACCAGCACAGCGAACATTCGCGCACTTGCATATAGTACGAGGAGGTGGAGCAGGAGATGGCGGAGCAGGAGATGGCGGAGCAGGAGGAGGAGGAGGAGGAGGAGGAGGAGAAGAGAGGAGGGAGTGCCCTCGCATCCTCTGCCTTCTTCTCCTCTGACCCTCCCCTTGCCCTCCATCCAGGGCTTGCCGTGCCTCGTCCCCTCCACTCTCCTCTGGCTCCGTCGAGGACGTGGGGGACCACAGCCCGTATGTGGGCGACATCTCCGAGAGGCTGCCGAAGCAGCTCGGACCGGTCTCCTCCTGCTCGTGCTACTCCTCCTGCTCCTCGTCGGCGTCCTCATGTTCCTTGTTCTCTTCCTCCTGCTCATTTTCATCCTGCTCTCCCTCCACTTGCTGCTCCTCTTGCTCCTCTCTTTCACTGCTCCTCCTTCTCCTGCTCCTCCTTCTCCTACTCCGTCTCCTCCTCCTCCTCCTCCTCCTCCTCCTCCTCCTCCTCCTCCTCCCCCTGTTGTTTATCCCCTCCCTTGTCGGTAGATCGGCCGGATGGCGATGGGGGGATCAGGACATGGGGGGATGAGTATCCGTCACCGTTTTGTTGGGGTACAAATTGTATTTTCTCTGCTGGTTGCAAGTACAAATTGTACCTCCCCCCCCGTTAACATCCTCGCACATGTCGCGGACGTTGTCAAAAGTACAAGTTGTACCTTGTCTGCGTGGGGTCGGTACAAATTGTACCTTCTCCGTGGGGCGTAGGTACAATTTGTACCTCGGTTGTGCCTCTCTCCCCCCCTGGACTTATCCCCCCATTTGCATCCCGCCAAGTAGAGCCTCATTATCCTTCTCCTCCCGCGTCTTTCCTTCTTGTCTTTCTCTTCTCTTCTTTCGTCGTCGTGCAGAAGTCACAAGTGAGTAATTGCAACCCGTGTTGTTACTTACGTGTTGCACACATCACCGCAAGATGCATTGCGCGCGCAAGATGTTGTTTTGTTCTGCTCTGTCGCTCTGGTTAACCGAAATCCATGTAGACACTGTCCTAGTGTCTCAAGCGGCCGAACACTCCACTGACCCCTCTAACAACCGTCCTTGAAGCACGTCCAGGGCATTCAATTGAAGTACTTGGCAGGGAGTTGTGCCTTGAAGCTTCAGAGGTAACAGCCGAGCTTGTCGAACCGAGACTTTCCCCCACACCCACCTCCTCCTTCGCTTCCCTTTGCTCCTAAACTCTCATACCCGTCCTCGTCCCCCTGGCAAGTGGAAAGGGGTGCTTATGTAGACGGGTCATGAACTCCGAGGCTTCTTTTGGAAGCAGCGTTTCATCCCGAGCCCTTTCGTGACCGTCCCAGAGTGCGGGGAGGGCCCTAGCAGGCCGCGCACGGCTTGAAAAGTCCAGGAATCGTTTCCTCCTATTCATGCTGATTTTTCTCCTGCCCCCCCCTCAACCGGTGTCCGCGAACCTGTCCAAGATACACTACCTCTTCTTCTGTGACAAGTTTGTACAGAGCTTCGTGGCCCGCTTTGTCGCCGAGATCTACAGGTGCCGGAAGATCCCGCGGCCTACCGGCGGGTGCCCCGCCGGCACGCGTCGACGACGGGTGAGAGAACGTAGACGGTGAGGGGATGAGTGGATCGGGTGGGGGGTGGAGGGGGAGCAAGCAGGACGGCGTTCTAGTGGGCCTCGGAGAAGCCTCGCGTCGCCGTGGTTTGAGCCCCCTCGGGGCTGATATAGCAGGGGCGAGACGGAGCTGAGTGAACAGGAAGCCGACTGCCCCAAGGCGGCATGAGATAAATTGTCGGAGGTCCGCGCGGATGCTTCGAGTAGGGGATCGACTACAGAATTAATGCCCCTTTGTTTCCGCAGAGACCACGAGATACGTGAGCAGCAATTCTGAGGTAAAGGATTTCTTTTATTAGTCGATTCCCCAACCCGAGTGCTCTGGTGCTGGGAGCTGGGGCCCAGTGCCCACATTCCCTGGGCGACGCTCCGGCGCCGCCGCCTGGACGCGCTCCCCGCGCCGGGGGACGGGGTGCGGCTCCTCCTCCTCCTCCCTCATTTTCCCTCTCTCTTCCTCCTCCTCCTCCTTTTTCTTTTTCTTCTTCTCCTTCTCCTCCTGCTGCTGCTCCTCCTCCTCCTTCTCCCCCTTCCTCCTCCCCCTTCCTCCTCCCCCCTCCTCCTCCTCCTCCTCCTCCTCCTCCTCCTCCTCCTCCTCCTCCTCCTCCTCCTCCAGCTGCTCGAGGAAACCTCTGCATCAGCGCAGCTTCCACTCTCTACTGTACCTTCATTTCCCTTTTGGCGCACCGCCCGCCAGGAGCTAGACGCCTGCGGGACGCCGCGGATTGTGGCGCTTCTCCGCGTCGCGCTGTACAATCCCTTCTCGGTCTTGGAATCCCAGAGGCCAGTGGACATTTGAAGGGCCATACGAGCAGATATCATTCTTCTTCCAGGGACACGGATGCGGGCTACGAGCGGCGACGCGGTCACACGAATGTTTTTGGAGGTGGGGCCTTCGCCTTGAATGCGGGATGGGCTTCAGGATCCGTTTCGAACAGTTCGGCGGGATGTACGATACTCGCGGGGATCGTGTTCAGGGTCAAACATGCCAGGAACATAAACACCTTTTTTTTCCATCGGCCCAAGACGAGGCCTTGCTGTTCGTCTTCGATATCGCAGCGTAGACATGAGTGCGATCCTGACGTGCGTCGCCCTAGTTGATATGCCTCGGCAAGGAAAAGGAAGGGTCTAGATAAGGGCTCTACAAAAGTGGTCCGATGGGGAACCCAGCAGGTTCAAAAGGTGCCCAACAGGTCCACACCTATCTTCGCGGGGGACTTTAAATGCAGATGGGCTTCAGAGCAGGCTCGCGCACTTACGCTCCGTCGACATCGGCGGCGTGGCGGCAACAGGAACGGCCCCTGGCGGGTCCATATCACACGGGGGAGCAGCAACTGATTGGGATGATGATTCAGCATGAACTATTGGCCCCTATGGAAATGTAGGACGCTGTGGCGGCTGATCGACAGGGGGCCGACATATGATTCATATAGTGGACATCCCAGTACGATCGACCATATAGTTATTCGAGATTGCCGCATATGGCGGCCGATAGAAGTAGGACCCTGCGGCGACAGCAGCTGAGAGATGGGATCGGAACTTGCTTGCGGCAGCTGTCCAGCGCGGTGTGTCAAGGCAAGGGTTCTTGGGCGACCTAGAGAGAGCGATGGTGGAGCATGAGCAAGTCATGCGGCAGCAGTTGCGAAGAGGGGGGCTGGACCAGGCGTGGCAGAGCTGGATCGACACGGTACGCACGACTGGCAGAGTACATGTCGCACAGGGGCCCAAAGAGGTGGATCCCACAGTCACGGCCCTACGAGAGCGGCGACTTGCGTTGGTTCGATTGCGACTTGCGGAACAGAATTCCGAGACATGGGAGAAGCACAGGGACTTCGACGAGGTGATACACGACAGCGCACTTTTTTCGGGTCACGAGGACCGATTTGCAGCATATATTGGCACACGCCATGCGACGGACAGATGGACATCATTCAGCTTCAGATGCCGGTGAGGAGTGTTTCGCCCATGAGAATGTATTCGGGTCAGTTGGAATTGAATGCAGACAGAGTGGAAGTGGAGTTGCTGATGTTCTAACACATTACGACATGAGGGCAGGAATTCATGGCACGAATCACGACGCAGCTTGGAAGTGGAGACCGCAGGTGCTCAGAACCAACACAAGCACGCAGAAGTACACCGATTGATTTTCTTGCTGGCGGCGAAGCAGGGGGGACCTCGGGCGCGTCGACGCAACCTGCCCTCCACGCGTGAGTAGAACCGAATGGTATACACAGTTGAGCTTGCCAGCGGAACGCGGAGGCATCGACGCAACAGACATGGGCATGGGGCGGATGCTGAGCAATTGCAGCACGCCAGTTCATCCTGCGCCGACGGACGAGGAGGAGCCCGAGTGGACCGCGAGGCAGGGCAGGAAGGACTTGCAAGTGACGTCGCGACAGTTGCGTCGCAGCCACAAGAGGCGGGCGGCCCCGCCGTGGAGGTCCCCGCTAGAGTTGCACCTGGTGGCGGCGGATCCCATGCACCTATCGGCGGGGCCTCAAGGGCACCTGGGGTTAGGGGCCATCCCGATATCAGAGACGGAACCCACTGCATCAGCGAAGATATGGAAATCTTTACGTATCTCATGTCGCCGTTTGAGGCGTACGCCGATCATGGGGACTAACGCATGGGGCGCGTCGATCGCGAAGCATCATGGCAAAGTGGGAACATTGGGGGAACGCCGCATCAACGCGTGACGCCCGTACTGGAAGGGGTTTTACGGGGGGTCTTCAAACCGAGTTGTATAAAGAGGGGCGTGCGCTGGTCGGCGGAGTTCCATGGATTTCTTCCGCGTGATCGACGAGGGGGCGCGATTGCGGTGCAGTTGTGCATTGGCCACTTCTATGGTATACAGCGCGTAGCAAATTCGAATCACACGCGCGACATGTCGAATGCCTCCGCCTCGGCGACGGCGCGAGCTAGGACCGAGGCGATCGACCAGCCTTTCCAGCCCTCGGACGCAGCCGTGATGCATTCTAAATCTCAGACCCCGGGGATAGCGATGATCTTCGAAACGGGGGGTACCAGGCCGTGGCGATATTCCCCAATCCTAGCCGTTCGACGTCGACGAGCGGGACTGATGGGGTCGAGCGAGGGGCCCCGTGGTCTTCGCGAAGATGATGGAGGGCGACATGAGATCGCGGATCGAGTCGCGATCTTCGAATGAAGACGAAATGCATCGAAGGTGCGGGGTTACAATTTGACATATAGTTGTGCGACTACGGTGTACGCCGGCGATATCCCAATGAGATGCCGACTGATGACGCGACGCAGATCATGACCGACGAGAGACCTGAACACACAGCGACACCGTGCTCGATAGAGTCTTGGTACAGAAGGGTCTCGTTCAAAATTAAAACAAGCGCGAAACGGCGCCACGCCTTCGTAGCCATCGGGCTAACCGAGCCTCCACGACAGAGCTGAGGAACGGCGCGGCACGAGCTAGAGCTAGATATCTTGGGATCCGGCACGCCTGGAACCTATCGATTACGGAGGGGTGTCGTTGCCGATTTGCTGCCGCCCATGCTGGGTGGGGGAAATTCGGCAAGTTCTGGACCAGTCGAACTTGCGAATCATTGAAGATACTGGCCTTCAGGGGCCACGTGGCGGAGGCGGCGCTTTCTGCCAATTGGCCGCTCGTGTCCCCGTGGGTCCAAGCACAGCAGATGGGCGGAGTTTTGGCTAAGTATCTCAGGGTGCTGGAGCGCGGCGAAGCTACGGGCTGGTCAGGCGAGCACCCGCGCTCGTCTGCGAATCCGACGCTCGGGCAGAAGTGGTGCCTGATACCGATCCGCTTCGAGCAGGCGGCCCGGCGCTTCGGGCCTGCGCAACAGATGGCCGAGGACGCTGTCGCGCACCCGCAAGTGATCGGTGATCGCATCGATTTGGGGGCACCCCGCCCTTGATGACGCAGTATCCGAAAGTGTGCGCACCCACTGGCTTTGCAGATTGGGCGGGGCTTCGGCGGCGCCGGGGGCTTCTTCGAGGCCCGGGAACGGGCTGGGCACTCTTGCAAGGCGCTGTTCCTGGAGGAGGCGGCGAGGGAGCTCCGGCGGAAGGCGGGCCCGAAGATCCCGACGGCCTCGAAATTAGCAGGGGGGGGAGGTGCTTAGAAGCAGATAGAGGGGCCTTGCGAGGGTCTTCGAGCAGGAGGGGGGGGGGGGGGGGGCGACGAGGAGTCCACTACCTCTTTATGCAACCGCGGGGGCTCTCAGGGGAACATGCGCCTCCGGGAGTCGAGTCTCGATGGGGGGGCCATTTGCCCGCCGTTCCAGGTCCGTGGGACGCGGGCGCGGTGAACTTAATCCACTGTGCTACGCTGTCCTGGCGAACGTCTGCCCACGGTGCCGCGCGGCGTTTGTGCACCCAAGGACAGCGCGCGCCAGCGCGCGCACGCGGCGCGGCTGACGAACACTAGAAGACGGCCTTCTCTTGGAAGCCTATCGTACCTAAGTCGTTGAAGTGCATGGTGCGCGACTCAGAGATTGACGCGCTAGACGAGCCTCATGATCACGCAGTGGAGCGTCACCCCCCTCCACCTCCCAGCGTTGTGCGGCTTCGAGAGCAGCGGGGGCGCCGTTCTGTCCGCGCGGGGGGACTTGGGGGCGTCGCTGGTCTCGGCAGGGGGCGACGGCGACGAGAGGAAGGACACCTTCAAACGACAGGTCAGGCGCAGGGAGGGGCGGCAACCCGCGCCGAAGAGTTGCGCGGGCGCCGGCGCCAACAACAAATCCCTGCGCGCGCTGGCGATGAACATGTTGCTGCCGCTCGCCCAGACCAGACGGAGCATGGAAGGCGTGCTCTTCGACGTGCTGATCGTTCCAGCGGACCCTCCAGATGCGCTGAAGACGGAGGAACACGGCGCGGCCTACAACGACCAGGTCCAGTCCAAGGGTAAGGGCCACGGGCTGGGAGCGCCCCGCCTGCCCGCGTTCGGGGGGCTGCTGGAGGCGATCTCGCTGGGGCAGCAAAGCATAGGCAAGCGGAACTTCGACAGGCATCAGGAGTTCAAGCAGCGTCTCGCGACGCTGGGATACGACGAGCAGGTGCACATCATTCGCTTTGCCAAAGTGGGCAAGTGCTACGACCGGGGCAAGCGCGGGATCACCTTATGCGTTGGGGAGCACCGCAAGGAGCTGATCGTGCTCTACAGCCACTTGGCGCAGAGCTGAAGCCGGGGCGGGCGCCAGTCAGCCACGTGGAGCGCGAGCTGCAGGAGTGGCTGGGGGTGTTCCTGTTGTAGAGAGTGTGGCACGACAGTCTTTTTTTTGTTCGGATCGTCAAGAATCGATGACCCTTTTTACCAGAGTTCGATATTACTCTTTCGAAAGTGGCGGGGGATGCGAGCGCGGCCGAGCCGAAAGCGAAGAGACCGACGGCCAATGAGCCGGCGCGCAGCCCCGACCAGAGTGCACAGACTTGCGAGGAGATCGCCATCGGTCGCGGGGGAAACGACGTCGGCCGATCCGACATCGGGGAGGAGGATTTCGCCGATGAGAATTTCTGCGCAATCTTCGGGATCACAGATGCCAATGAAGATGATTTCGCCGAGGAGTTTTTCCCCTGGCACCCCAAGCAGGAGCGATTCGCCCGCGAGGTTTTCTTCGAGAGCCACGGCGGCACAAAGGGCGAGGGGGAGAGTGTCGCCGCCGAGGTTTTCTCCAGGATCGAAAGGGTCGCAGATGCCGACGAGGAGCGTTTCGACTTCATGTTTCTTCGAAAATATGACCCGAGGTGCCGCGATGTCGGAGAGCTCTGAGGCCCGCGGGCACGTGATGAGGCGTGGAGGAGAAGCCCTGGCAGGGGTCAGTGATGGAGGGCACGGCACGGTGGCAGGCTTTTAGTAGGAGCAGGCATGTCTTAGCAATGGTACGTAGAGGGTAATTGTGGAGAGAAGTCGGTGGGCCCAGGCTCGGGTAACTCGCGCTCGGGCTTGGTGCCCCGGGCAGTGCGCCAGCTTTCGGTGTAGCTTTGGGGCCAGCGTTCCCAGGCGTTTTGGATCCTCTTCTTGAGGATAGCCTCTGGGCCTTCGAATGTTTAATTAATGGGCGAACTTGGCCCCCACGGAGTGTGTTTTCTTTTTCCTCTCCTTCTTCCTCCTCCTCCTGAAAACAAGCGGTTAGCAACCCGATCGTTGCCCTTGTTTGCCCGTAGGGGGCCAAGGGGAGAGAAAATTGTTCCTCTCGCCAGCGGCCGCCCATGGAGTGGGCGGTGGGTAGGTTGGGCGTCGGAGCGCGGCCTCCAGCGCCCCCTGCCCCGAGCAGGGCGCGCGGAGCACGGTCTCCTTGCGCGCCCTGTTTGGCGCGCCGAGGCCGTCATCCGGCTTGGCCTCCCGGCCGCGCGCCGCGGGGGCACGGCCCTGGATTGAAGGCGCGTTGGCATGTAAGTCCGTCTTCGCCAGCGCTTTGAAGTGCCTGATTGTGGGCGCCATGGAAAGGCAGCGCAGATGTAAAAATCCTCCTCCCCCTCCTCCTCCTCCTCCTCCTCCTTCTCCTCCTCCTCCTCCTCCACAGTTACTCTTATATGAATACTATTCTCCCTCTTCCCCGGATGACGGCCTGGGAGTGTCCGACCCCCCCCCGCGTATTGATTTTTTTGTATATATATATATATATATATATATATATATATATATATATATATATATAAAAAAAACGCAGGTTTCTCTGGAGTTGGGTTTTCGCTTGCATTTGTTTTCAAAATGCTGCTCTCGCTGAGGCGCGGGCCTCATTTTCGGGCCCCGCTCGTTCCGAATCGTGCTCCCGCTGCAGCGCTGGCCTCATGTCCGTGCTTCCGCTCGTTCCGAATCGTGCTCCCGTTGCAGCGTTGGCCTCATTTCCGCGCTTCCGCTCGTTTCGACTCGCGCTCCCGCTGCAGCGCTGGCGTCCTTTCCCGTGCCATGCCACTTCGCGCAATGCAATGCTAGGTTGATGCTACGCTTTGCGGTGCTCTTCTACG